GGTAGAGAGATTCTGGTCGGAAATAGAGACATTAATGACAGCAGTCCTGGAGAGACCAATACACAGAGACCCATGGACATTTTTACTAGCCAAACCACAAGATGACCTGACGACAAAAGAACAGAAACTAGTAAACAAACTGACCTTAGCAGCCAGAAGAGCACTGACCCAACAATGGCTCAGTCCCGACATCCCCCCAATTAGCAAAGTCATCCACAAAATACAGGACAATTTCACCATGGACAAATTGACAGCGCAGGTACGGAACACCATGGACACTTTCTCAAAGGTGTGGCAACCGTGGGAGGAATATCAAGAAAGAATGACGCGCACACCATGAGACACAAGAGCCAACCAAAGCGGTACCCACCACCACACACACATGCAGCGGGCGCGCCCGGCGAGTCGTCCCCCCCCCCCTTTTTTTGGCCCACTGCCTCCCAGCCCCTCCCTGATACCTAAACTAAATTCACCCTCCTCTCTCTTTGCCTTCTCCTCACAGAAGAGGGCAACTATACACGAAAAATAAATAAATATACAAAAAATAAAAAGTTGGCTGACAAAAGTTGCACAGTAGGGAGCGTAAAACACACAAGCCCAAAGCCTTATAACAATCTGGGACCAGGGGGTCTAACAAGGGCAAAATACTAGGTATCTACCACGCTCTTCACAAGGGGGACTTACAGCCACGATAATGGGTAGATGTATTGTGGGAAGGAGGCACAGAGGAAGGCACAAGGGCCCAACATCGGACAGGGCAAAGGGTAAATGATCAGACAACGAATAGTCATCACAAACACGGCTCACGCAAGAAAAGTAATGCTCCACTCAGGTGCTCATAATCTGGGGGTGGGGGGGGGGGAAGGAGAATAACAATAACTACGAGACGAATAGAATAACAGGTTATGATACAAAGTTTTAGACGTTCGGGTTACCTTAAGGAAAACACCAAATAGGGTGTTTCCAGGTTTTTAAGTTGATTGTGTTTACGAAAATGAAAAAAAAAAGGCCTTCTACAGAGTCACAGGGCCTATACTGGATAGGATTATGAGTCTTTACACTGCTCCATCCGCTAGGGTCTTGGGAAACGTGTTTAACTCAGAATGGTTTGGAGTAGCTAATGGGACGAGACAAGGGTGCCCATTGGCCCCAATGTTGCATGCACTTTCAATAGAACCATTGGCAGTTTATATAAGACAGGAGGAGGAAATCCTGGGAATTCGCAATGGCGACCAGACTTCAAAGATCATGCTACATGCAGATGACGTAGTTCTGACACTTTCTAATCCAGAAACATCTCTGTTGGCAGTTTTGAAATGCATTCACTATTTTGGCAGAATCTCTAACTATAAATAACATTTTAAAAAGTAATTAATTCTAGTGTCCCGATTGACAAAGTACATAGATTGGGAACTTGAATGAATGAAATGCTTTATTTGGGGATAAAATTAAGTTGCAATTGGTTTAAGATAGTAAACAATAATTAAAACGACTTATATCAGGACTTAAAAAACTTACCATAAACAAAGGGGAAATTTATATTTATCTTGGCTGGGGAAAATAAACGCAGTACGATCTTATCTAGTGCCAAAACTGGAATACTTATTAACCCCTTAAGGACTGGACTGTTTTTGCGATGTTGTACATTTGCGACCAGGCATATTTTTACACTTTTGTGGTGTTTGTGTTTGGCTGTAATTTTCCGCTTTCTCATTTACTGTTCCCATACAAATTATATATTGTTTTTTTCAGGACATAAGGGGCTTTCTTTACATACCATTATTTATATAATCTCATGTATTTTAATTTAAAAAAATAAAAAAATATGATGAAAAATTGAAAAAATACATGTTTTTTTACTTTTACTTGAAAAATCTTTTACTCATCTACAAAAGCGAATGAAAAAAACTGCTAAATAGATTCAAAATTTTGTCCTGAGTTTAAAAATACCTAGTGTTTACGTGCTTTTTTGCTTTTTTTTGCATGTTATAGGGCTATAGGTACAAGTAGGATATTGCGGTTTCGAAACATACATTTTTAAAATGTATCAATAGTGACATTGTAACACTATTATCTGTCATAAATCTCTGAATAACACCCCACATGTACATATTTTTTTTAAAGTAGACAACCCAGGGTATTCAATATGGGGTATGTCCAGTCTTTTTTTAGTAGCCACTTAGTCGAAAACACTGGCAAAGTAAGCATTCATATTTGTTTGTGTGTGAAAAAAGTAAAAAAACTAAATTGAACGCTAATTTTGGCCAGTGTTTGTGACCAAGTGGTTACTAAAAAAAGACTGGACATACCCCATTTGCAATACCTTGGGTTGTCTTCTTTTGCAAATGGTATGCCATCATGGGGTAATTCTCATTCCTGGGCTACCATACGCTCTCAAAGGCAACATAACCAACCTGGCCATTTTCAATGTAAAAATATTTGACCCATATATTTGACCCTGTAACTTTCAAAATGCTATAAAACCTGTACATGGGGGGTACTGTTATACTCAGGAGACTTTGCTGAACACAAATATTAGTGTTTCAAAACAGGAAAACGTATCACAACAATTATATCATCAGTAAAAGTGCTGTTTGTGTGTGAAAAATGCAAAAAAGTAACTTTCACTGACAATATCATCGCTGTGATATGTTTTACTGTTTTGAATCACTAATATTTGTGTTCAGCGAAGTCTCCCGAGTAAAACAGTACCCCCCATGTACAGGTTTTAGGGTGTCGTAGAACGTTACAGGGTAAAATACAGTGCTAGCAAATTAAATTCTCTGGAATTTCGGCCTGGGTTGGCAGGCAGGTCCCTCAAATTGCAATCAATAAAATTACTGAATTATGTAAAAATATTACATAAATACGCACGTAGAATTTAAATATATATGCATATTTATATATTTGAAGTCTACGTGTATATTTATATAATTATTTATGTAATTTTGTATATGGACGTATGTATATTTCTTATTATTTTTATTTATTTTTATATACATAGATATATATACAAATTCATTCTAAGTGTATTTTGATATAAATATATATATATTAATTTTAAAATACAGTTAGAATAAAATTTCATATAGCTATATAATTTTTTAAAAATTTTTTATTATTATTTAAAAAAAAATTTATTTAATTTAAATTACTTATTATTTATATTTTATAATAATATATATATACAATATATATAGTTATTATATATATTATATATATACGTGTGTAATTTAATTATAAGTGTATTTTTATATTAATATAAGTACATATTAATATAAAATACACTTAGTATGACATTATATATATGATATATAGACATATATTATATAGATATAATATATGTCTATATATCATATATACACATATATAATTATTTTTATTTTTTTTATTAACACTAACTTTATTTTTTTTTCTGATTTTACACTAGCAGGGAGACTGCCTGTCAGCACAGGCAGTCCCCCTGCAGGCAGACACATGGACACCTATTGTGACCATGTGATCGCTGTGTTGAGCGATCACATGGCCACAGGGGTCCTAATTCAGTGTGGGGAGACTGTCTGGGCTGCAGGCAGTCTCCCCACAACCGGAGCCACGCTGATCGCCGCCGGGGGAACGACGGTGATCAGGTAAGTAGCTCTGACCGTTAGGACGGTTCAGGACCGTCATCGGTCGGCAACGCAAAAATGCCGATGACGGTCCTGAACCGTCCTCGGTCCTTATGGGGTTAAGAACTCTTAATATGAGAGTACCCAAAGGTACGCTACACAAATTCCAGGAATTATTTAAGTTTGTATGGGGTGGGCCTAGACCCAGAATTTCCTCATCAAATTTGTCTTGCAAATTAAAAGATGGGGGAACATCCCTCCCCGATGTATATTTGATTTATGACTCCATAATGCTATCCCATTTGATTAAATGTAAATTTAAGGTCCCCAAAGAATTGTTTATGGTTAGGTTATGAAAGACACGTTTTATCCAACAAGAACCCTTTTCTTTTGGGTACAAAGCATGGGATTATGAAATGGGAAAGGGAGCTGAGCACATTATTTTTATCCAATGAATGGGTTACCACTTTAAATCTGACAAAAAAAAATTTCATAGTATTTTGTTGTTTGAAAATTATTTCAAAATTTTACACAGATGGTATCTGACACCAGACAGGATAAGTAAGTTTAAATTCAACATTAGTGATCTTTGTTGGAGATGCAAGAGGGAAACTGGAACTATACAGCATATATGGTGGGAATGTACCTGCCTATTACTTTTTTTTTTTGTAAATATGTTTTTATTTCGGTTTATATTGTCGAGAATAAGTCACATTGAGACTCGCAGGTCTCCGTAAGCCTTTAGGGCACAATAACCAAAGTACAACATGTGCATAGCTTTTTTATATCGGCCAACCGGGCGCGCAGGCCCACAATTGCGGTGTCCCTTACAGCATGCTGTTCTTGTCCCTAAGTTGATGTGACGTTTGCATTCAGTTGCTCCGTTTGTTAAGTCACATTATGCAAACTTCAGTGTGGACTCGCAGGTCCACTTAGGGTGGGACATGAGCAGCCTTTGGAAAGGAATGACGGTCTGCAAAACCAGCATTGGTGACGTGCCGGTCACAATGTAGCGGGGGTTATAGTCGGGTGTCGGACCCGTGAGTCTCGTTGCAGTAAGGCGGTCAGGTATTACCTCTAGTAAACGCTAAGGTGTCAGGGTGGGTCCGCTGGCCCCTCTGAGCCCAGCGTTAAGTCCCGTGGCCTGATCTGGAGAACGTGCACGTGGGTGTCATATGTTCTGTTGTCCCCTCATGGAGGAGTGAGCGTCTTCCCGGAGGCCTTATAAATCTTCTCTTATGTTGTCATTGGCGTATGCCAAGTGCCTGTCTGTTCGCACTCAGTGTTTGGGATTGGGGGGGATGTCCGGGTAGTGGCGTCTGGGGAGGTGGGGGGGTCGGGGTGGTCCGCGTCTGGGTCACGTCTGTCTAGGTCGTCTCTGTATTTGTTGGTCTATGCGGCTTCGTCACTGTGTCCTTATGTGTCGTATTGGAGCCTGGTTGTGAATTCTGCCTTGGTAGTAGTCAGTATCCAGTGGGTCCATATGTCCGTGTACCTATTCAAGGAGTTGGGTGTGGTCATAATGAGTTCCTCTATGGCTCTGAGTTCCTCCATTTGGGAGAACCAGGATGTCAACGGGGGTGTCGTTTGTTGCTTCCAGAATTGAGGGATCACCTGTTTGGCAACGTTTAGGATTCTAATGGTTAGTGAGTGCTTGTATCTCGTTCTAGGTGACTTTGTATGGTGAAGGAGCATGTGTTCTGGGAGGAAGGGGGGTGGCGTGTCTGAGAAGGTTTTGAGAAAGCCGTGTATACCCCGCCAGAAGGGCTTTATGGCTTCGCAGGCCCACCAAAGGTGGAGTACTGTGCCGGCCTCTCTATTACACCTCCAGCAGAGATCCGTGTGTTCCGGGTCCATGGCATGGAGTGCAATCGGGGTGCGGTACCAGTTCGTTAACAATTTAAACGCCGTTTCTTGTGTTTTGCTGAAGACTGAGCAGTGATGCGTTAAGTAGCATATCTTTTCCCAGTCCCCATCTGTGAAAGTTTTCCCCAATGTTTGTTCCCATCTCCCCATGAATTTGGGTTTCTCCGTTGGTGTTTCCCTCTGTAGCATGGAGTAAATGAGTAAGATCCCGTGTGGTTGCGGGTCTGGGTCCATGCACATTCTTTCAAATGTGGTAGGATCACGTTTCCGTGCCGTGCCCCCCGGGAGGGTGTGTACATAGCTCTGTAGCTGTCTGTGTTTTAGGTGGTGTAGGAGGGTGGGGGTTGCTCCCTCTAATAGGGTCGGGAGTGTTTTGCATTCCGTGCCTGCCAGGAGGTGGTGTAGTCTGGGTAGTTTATGTCGGGTTAAGTCCCTGAATGCGTTGGGGTCTAGCCCCGGTGGGAAGCTGTCGTTATGCGTGAGAGGGAGAAGGGGGGATGGGAATGGCGCTAGTCTGCATCTCTGTGCTACTCTCTCCCATGCCCGTAGGGTTGCGGTTGTATAGGGTGTGCCCTGTCTCCCGCTCCCTCCCCTCCCCAGCCATGGGACGATGGACAGCGGTATCCCCGCATCCGTTTCCTCTGCCTCTTTCCATCTCTTATGCACCTTCTCTTTTGTCCACTCCATAATTCGTTGGAGGTGACAGGATTCATAGTACAGGGAGAAGTCTGGTATGGCCAGTCCCCCCCTGTCCTTGGGCAGCGTCAGTGCGGCTAGTTTGACCTTCGGTCTTTTGCGGTCCCAAATATATTTCCCGGTTTCCTGTCGCAGGGCCTGAAAGAATGATCTGGGGATGGTAATGGGTAGGGCTTGCATGAGGTATAGTAGGCGTGAGAGCAGGTTAATTTTTATAACCTGGACCCTGCCCAGCCAGGATATGTGTGGGTATGCCCAATCCGACAGGTCTTTCCGGAACCTGTTTAGTAGGGGGATGAAGTTGTGTCTGAATAGATCAGGTTCCCTCCTCGTCAGCCATGTGCCTAGGTATTGTATTTGATGTTGTGCCCATTGGAATGTGTGGCTCTGCTTTAAGGGGGAGGCTCTGTGTTCTGGTATACTAACGTTCAAGATGTATGATTTTGTGAAGTTGATCTTGAGGTTGGATATCTCCCCGAAGGTCCTGAAGGCCTTCAGGATATTCGGGAGCGAGACGTCCGGGTTAGTGATAAAGAAGAGGAGGTCAACGGCGTATGCCGCGACTTTGTGTTGTGTGTCTCCATGTCCAATGCCCCTGATTGCTGCGTCCTGTCGTATGTGCGTCAGGAAGGGTTCGAGTGTCAGCACAAAAAGCAGGGGTGATAAGGGGCACCCCTGCCGCGTGCCGTTGGTGATGGGGAAGTCACTCGTCAGGGCTCCGTTTACTATAATGTGGGCGGTGGGCCCGTCGTACAGCGCCTCGACCCATCTCCGGAAGTGCGGTCCCAGTCCAGTGTGGGCCAGTGTGTGGAACATGTATTGCCAGTCGACTCTGTCGAAGGCCTTCTCTGCATCCGTGGACAGCAGTAGAACGCCCTCGTCCCCGCAATTACGTCTGTGCATGAGCGTCAGTGCCCTGATCGTGTTGTCTCTCGCTTCGCGGCCCATGACGAAGCCAACCTGGTCTGGATGTATTAAAGTGGGGATGTGTGTCTGGAGGCGTGTGGCCAGTATCTTTGCCAACAGTTTGACGTCGCAGTTGATAAGTGAGATGGGCCTGTAGTTCCCACAATGTTCCCTGTCCTTACCTTCCTTCGGGATGAGTGCGATGTGTGCGGTCAGTGACTGTTTTGGCAGGTGGTGTCCTTCCCTTAGTGCGTTCAGGGCGTCTAGGAGAGGGGGGTATAGGTGTTCCGCAAACGTTTTATAATACTTTAATGGGAGCCAGTCCGGACCGGGGCTTTTACCTTGTTTCGTCACTTTAATGGCATAAGCTAGTTCCTCTATCGAAATTGGTTCTTATAGGCTTTCTGCGGTTTCCTGGTCTATGGACGGGAGGGGGTGGGCTGACAGGTAGGCTTGTATTTTCTCCCGCAGGCTGTCCCTCGCCCTGTCTAGGGGGGGCCGAAGGAGGGCATATAGGTTCGCGTAGTAATCCTGCGTTATGTCGAGGATTTTAGAGGGTAGGTGGTGTAGGGTGCCCTGCCCGTCCCTCATTTTATCGATGTACGTCCTTTGTCTCTGTTTGGCTAGCATTCTGGCCAGTAGCTTACCGCTTTTATTGCCGTGAAGTAAGAAGAAGGCCCTATGTCTGGTTACGTCTCTGTGGTGTTTCCTATGTAAGAGGCTCGTCAGGTCCCGCCTGAGTTGTAGTAGTGTCGCCTGGTGTGCCGTTTGTTGGGTGTTTTTGTTGTGTGTTTCCACCCTGTGTATTTCGGCCACTAGGACAGTTAGACAGCTGTCGGTCTGCTTTTTAAGGGTGGACCCCTGGCGGATGAAGTGTCCTCGTATCACGCTCTTGTGTGCCTCCCATCTAATGGTCGGTGAGGTGTGTTCGGTTGTGTTCGTCTCAAAGTATTCTTTGAGTGTGTCGTTAACCTCGGACGTGAAGTCGGGCCTAGTAAGGAGGTATTCGTTAAGCCTCCATTTGTTGTGCCGGGGTCTGTACAGGGGGGACGAGAGTGTTAGGGTTACCGGCACGTGGTCTGACCATGTCGCCACCCCATGTTCTGCGGCGTTAGTTATTGGTAGATGGTAGTGCGTGGTAAAAAGATAGTCTAGCCTGGTGTAAGTGTTGTGCACGTGGGAGAAAAACGTATAATCCCTCTCGTCCGGGTGATAGGCCCTCCAGCAATCTATCAGCTGGTGGCGAGTTAGAAGGGTCTTGATTGAGTTTAGGTTTTGCGCCGGGACCCACGATCGTCCGGCGGAGGTGTCCCACCGCGGATTGAGCGCTACGTTTAGGTCGCCCCCCACTATGAGGATTCCCTCCGTGAAGGGCCTTAGTTTCCTAAGTGTGTGTGCCAGGAATCTGTATTGTCGGGTGTTCGGGGCGTAGATGTTTGCGAATGTATAGGCCTGTCCTGCTATTGTGCCCTTGAGGAAGAGGAATCTGCCCTCCCTGTCCGTCAGCTGTCCCGTTTCTACAAAAGGTATATTTTTGTGAACTTGAATGGCCGTGCCTCTGGACCTCCCTGTGTGGTAGTCACTGTAGTATCCCGTGGGGTAGTGATGGTTTGTCAATTTGGGCCTGGACCCGTCCTTGAAGTGTGTCTCCTGTATTAATACTATCGAGGCTCGTTTAGCGTGGAAGTCTCTCAGCGCTCCTGAGCGCTTCTCCGGTTTATTGAGACCTCTGGCGTTTATGGAGAGGACAGAGAGACAGTCCGGCACCAGTGCCTTCGTGTCTGTGTGTGAGTGTGGCCGCATCGTTTCGTCCTTGTGTCCCAGTCCGGTCAAGGGATCTGTACGCGTCTGTGTCCTGTCTGTGTCGTAGGTCGGGTGGGGGTTGTAGGAAAAAGAAGAAAGAGAAGGAAAGGGGGGGAGGGGAAGGGGGATGAGGGATGTATGGGGTGTGGGTGTGCGTATCCTTGTCACTGTAAGGTGACAGTGAGGTGTCAGCGACGGGGAGCGGTTTAGCCAGCGGCCACCTGTGGTCCGCGGCTGCTGCTCGCCTGTCTGTGTCGCTGGGTCCTTTGGGGCAGTAGAAGGAAGCTAAGGGACTTTGGGTGGAACCAGTCCTCCCTGCGTCCGTGCATATGTCGGTGGTAGATGTGTACCTGAGTTGCGTTTCTCGGTCCATTTGGTCCGTGTAGTCCCCCTGTCGGCTCTATCTGTCAGGTTCTGGTCGTTATGAACGTCCTCCTCGGTAAAGTTCCTGTGTGTTGGGCTCCGGGTCATAGGTCAAGCCGCCTTCTCAGGCGCCTGTCATGTACGTAGGCAAAGAAGAATTAGTTAATAAAACAATTTTGCATTTAAACTTAATAAACCTTTTCTTAGGACTAAACTTTAAACTGTGAACTTGGTTGTGGCATGCAGCTGCCGGCTTTATAACCTGATTGCGTACCAAGCTGTGCACCTAACCTTCGCTCCCGTACCTCCCCCTCTCTGGCACCTGTGGCGGGTCCCTCTGCCCCTCCAGGGATGGTTCGGGTCGTCCCATACCGGCCCTCCTCTCAGGTGCCCCTCTCCCTCTAACCCGTGCCCGGGCCCCTCTTCAGCGTGTCCCCCTCACCCTTCGTCCGTGTGCGAGTGGGACCCCCCGGTGGTGCCCGCCCCCTGCTCGGTTGGGTCATCGCAGGGCGGTCAGGGCCCCAGCGGCGGGCCCCAGTCCTAGAGGAGCTCCGGAATTTACCTCCCCCATTCCCTTCGGCCCCCCCCCCCCCTCGGGTCAGCCTTGGTGAATGCGCCTGGGCGGGGGTCTGTCACATATTCATCCGCATATAGAAATGTGGTTAATGACATTTACTGTCCACACAGGAAAAGTTGTGCCGAGCAGCAACCTAATCCACAGAAGGGTTAATGCTGAGCAGTAATTGTGCAAATGAAACCTGGTGTCATGTATTCATCCGCTTAGAGAAAAGCGATTAATGACATTTACTGTCCACACAGGAAAAGTTGTGCCGAGCAGCAACCTAATCCACAGAAGGGTTAATGCTGAGCAGCAATTATGCAAATTAAACCTGGTAACTGACTTTGGGGTCAAAGGCCGGTTACAGCCTATCAGAACTAAAGAGGGGTATTTAGGCCCAGTTCTCAGCCTGCTCAGTGCCCTGTCGTGGTTTCCCTTGTGGTTGTCTGAGAGCGCGTTCCTGTTTATAGTTTTCTACCTGGTTTTGACTTTGGCTTTGTTTATTGACTTCTCTATATTCTGGTATCCTGACTCCTGGCTTTCCTCATCGCTGTGTCCCTTTCTGTGTTCCCTGACCTCGGCTAGTATTTTTGACTATTCTTTGTACGTTAAATCCGGCCATTCTAAGGACCGGTGATACGTTACGTATTTGTCATCCGTGCTGTACAGTTCTACGTGCTGGATCAAACAGTAATCCTGACAGGGTTGCTGCCCCCCTGGGGTTGGTCCCTACGCAATGGTTTCGGTCCCTAGGTGTGGCCCCCTCCAGCCGGCTCCCCCCTTCCCCCGGTAACCCCGGTGGTGTCAAGCCATG